GCAGTTTCGATAATACCAACAACATATATATATATATACAGTGGAACCTCGATAACTCGAACCTCTATAAGTCGAATTTTCGATAATTCGAAGGAATGCCTTGGCCCCGGCCTTACAATATAAGATATGTGTGATAAGTTTTCTCGATAATTCGAATTTCGCTAACTCGAATTTCTCTATAAGACGAAATATTTTTAGTCGAATTTTGGCTTATAACTCGAATTTATATAATATATATATACATAACACGTACATAGCTTGATAACTCGAAAGTCAAATAACCAAGTGTATTATTATAACGGTAATCGTAATCGAAAAGTGATTAATATTATTAATCTAATCTTTACCTAATACTTAAAAGATACAGTTATAAATTCAACGATATAATACGATTTTATGTCTATAACTCCGATAAATTACGTTTATCTACTATATTTACTGTACATTTATTATTGGTAAAATTATACGTCGATTGAACTACGAAATGTATACGTCGATATTTAATATAATGCTGTCACAGGAGTCGGATATTCATGAAGATGAGGAATTGTCTAAAGCTACTCTTGCCCAGGCATTAGATAGTTTACATTTTATTCGTAAGTACATTCAGGAACAACCAGAAATTGATTTTTTCAGCGCTAAAAGTTATAGAAAACTTTACAAATAGATTAAAAAATAAAAAACAATTAAAAATATCAGATTTCTTTAAAAAATAGTTCTATTTTAATAATTATATTTTCTTTATAACATACAATTTATACATATACATATTTATTACTTTTTACTTTTTTAAACATTTTAATACAATATACATACTTACATACAATATACATTTATTAGTAAATATATAAATAAATCAAATTATGTAAAAAATAAATCTTTGTGTTTTATATAAAAAAATATTTTCGGTAACTCGAATTTTTTTTTTGCCGATTCGAGTTATCGAGGTTCCACTGTATATATATGTAAATGAGTGTCATATCAAAATATTCATATCTAAAACCTACTACGTGTACCTAGAACCGTTATGGTATATTTTACAATTCAATAACTAGATGACATAAGAATGCACTTTTAATATGATATGTATTTTAATAAATAATGTGTACGAATAACATCAGAAGAACTGCACATTTTCTACCAACAGGTACATAATACATACGCATTATATTAAGAACAGTAAGAATCGTTTTTTTTTTTTGTTTTTTTAAATAATAATAATAACATTTCCTTGGTTAGGACACATACAAAAATCACATGATACATTCATCATACAGTTTATGTTTTTGAATGTTTCAGTACAATATAATGTAAAATATTGTTATAAATACATTATTATAGTGTGATTTATTTAGCGTGAGACGTTTGCCGATGTAAATACGTAACGAGAGTTTAATAAATCACCCTATATTATACGTATACGCGTGTGTGTAAGTGTGTACATAATAATTTCTATTATTATAGTTCAACATAATACACGAGTAGCACATTTAATATCTTCCACTTGAGAAAACAAATATTTCTGTTATTTAAAGTGAAAATAATTTGTATTCTAGCGTTATAAACTTCATTTGTGTGACCTAAACCAATAATATAACGGTAACAATCCTATGGAGCACTTTTACGTACTTAGCATATAATTTGTAGATGATATAATGGTAAATATATACGATTTAGAGCTACGTAAGATGATTTTAATTTGAGATATTCCTAAAAATATTATAAATGTTTTTTTAAAGAAATCATCTCATGTTATTTCGGCTTAAAAATTAGAAATCGTCAACATCATCGCGTTCGTGTAAACATTACATTTCTACTGTGCAGCGCTTTGTATAAATCGTACTCGATAAACCAATTATGTAAACTAAAAGTTGCATCTTGCACACACTCGAAATACAACGAAATAATATATTTAATGGTTCACGACGAGCAAACTTGTTCGACGAAACTCGTCTGATTTCCGGTTTCAAGTGAATGCGATTTGCATGGGTCGTTCTCGGACGAAACAGACACGGCAACAGTAGTCTTGACGTTTTTCTCTACGTTTGATGTTTGTACTCGTAGCGCATAATGCGTCCACATGGATACGGAGAAATTCAAATTTGCCCACGTCTACGAATTAAAATATAATATGAAACGCGGTGAAACTTTTTAACTTTTTCCTCTCTCGATTAGCTGCCGCTGTATAATAATATTATGTTATACGTCATGTGCACTACAATAAATCGATTTCTATGCGTATGCGATCACCAACCGGCACCGTCGACGACATTCACTCGTCAACATGATCACAGCCCGTTTGATCGTCCTCTGCTTGGCCCTCGCGATTATCCCAATCCACGCGCTGGCCGCTGGAGTTGACAATGTTTTATCCGCGAATCTGTCATCGGGTAAGTCATTCAAACTTCAATCTATACATAAAAAATACATTCATGGTATTATAAAACACGTGGATCAATAGATCGCGCAATCGTTTTCGCCTAATCTAACGATGATTTTTATGAACAGTTAAATTTTATTATTTTCAAAATTAAATGACAATTTCTCAACGCAACTTCTTCCTATTTTCAACTCGAAGTATAATATTTACGTTTTGCTTTCACTAACTGATTTATAATTGATAATATATTAAAGTTATCGTCCATAAACCGAAAATCCCTATCAATAAATGTACCTCCTATTTATTTTTTACCAAATATAACTAGTTATAAATAGTTGTAATAAAAAATAAATAAATTACATTATACATTGTATACAATCTTAATATTGAGCAACAAAATTAATAAATAGAATGCACTCTAATATATAATATATTATATTTAATAAAATTGACTGAAACTGAAAATATCCAATGTATTGATAAATTTATATCTACTTTTTTTTAACTATAACTTAAGTTTTCTATAGTTCATAACATTTATGTAGGTAGTTATAGTTAAAATAATTTTATATATATATAACTTAATTATATCTAAATTATATGTATTTTTTTTCATTTAAATACTACTATCAATGTTTAAAATTACTAATACATATAAAATTAAAACCAATATAATAAATGATTTATTGGTTGCATTAGGGTAACCTTCAAAAGTTAAGTACTTCAACGAGGTAATTTTAATACATTTCTAGAATCAAGAGATATTACATATCCATGCAAATGTGAAGCAAGCAGATGCAGTTGTTGCAGTGGAAACATATTGCAAAACTTTAACCTTAACTTCCGGCAACGGCTGTGCACCAACATTTCGTACGATTCCGATGATTTTGAATTCAACGTGCGTATACTGTTCAATGATTACACCCTGTTCAACAGAGTCGTATCAGGTATAATTTACTGTTGTTATTTTTCTCAGAATATATATTATTATGTAATTATACTAAATTATATTGAAGATTACCCTCAACTCCATTCAACCATCTCCTCCTAAGTTTTTGTCATATTCTTTTACATTCCACTTTCATCTTCAAGACACTTATCACTATAATTATACCTCTTTACTCCACTTATCATGTCCATATACAATTGTGTTAGCATGTGCTTCCAGTTTAGTTAATTTACTTGAAATGAATTATATTTACTTAACATAATCTAATAGATTATATCCAATTGGTTTAAATTAATTATATTTTCAAACTAATCTATTTTCTGTAATGCGGTTGTATATTCTAGAATGAACTGTTCAGTTATTAAAAAATGTAAACTAATGCTTTAAACATGAAAAAATTAGGTGTATAATTTATTAAACAACTTTTGTTTTCAATATTAAACATATTATAAAGGTCGTATATTTATACTGTGTAACCAAAGTTTGATAGTTAACATAATATGTTCAATCACTAAGATTTCACTTATTTTTTTCTAAACTAACGAAAATATGTTTAGAACTACTCTAGTTGTATACGGTTCTTTAAATATTAATGTACCAATCTTCAAGTTTGAACTGTTAAAATATATTATTGAAAATCAATTTATGATAATAGATTTTAACAGAAAACAAATTCTAAACCATTCAATTACTCGTCTGTTCGCCGTAATAATTGATCAATATTAACTCAAATGAATAATAGCATATTGTTCGAGATTGATCAATCGCATCATTGTTTGGTCGTTTTATACGAGTATATGTTTTCAATATTATATTTGTTTTCAAACAATACTTTTCATTAAAAACTATAATTAATACAGAGAAATCTTGGCTCCCTGGTACCATAGTTCATTTATCATATACATATATATATTTAACTTATTATTATAATAAAACTGTAAATAGCATCTATTGACAATAGTTGTATAAACAAGTAATCAGTGTATGCGATGGCATTCAAGTAAAAACATATTTTTACTATAGTAAGAATACGAAAACTACCAAATTAACCAAAATAACCGAAATTAATATAAATTAAAGTTGAGAATTTATTTTTTTAACTCTATTATAATATTTTAAAGAAAAAATATATCTATAGATACTGAGATATAATAACTTATAACTTATAATAAAACTTCAAATAATGTTCTTCACAGGCTTATGTTTATTCAATGATTTCCATAGATAACACGTTAAAATACAAAACTAAAAAATTAAGTAGTTCACCCCATATCTCAACAAGGGATATGCTTCGATTTACATAAAAATAAAGTACTGTTTGTTTAAAGAACTATTTATTTTAAGTAAAATTTAAAAATAGTATACGAAATTCGTATTTATAATGGACGATTCATATAGTAATTTGTTATATACATCAACGAAGAGGACTAAAAAATACTCATAAATCGAGGCGAACTGTATGCAAGTATTACGTGCGTGATACAGACAAACCCGACTTTTATTGTTATGATAAATTTCTCATAAAATAAGAAATTATCAATTGACTGTAGAATTAAACCGGTTCAACTTCATAACGTATAGTGTTTCTAAGATGAATCCTATGTAACTATCAAAAAATGTGTAATACACATTTTAAAATGTTAATACTAGAATAATACTCATACAAAAATATTGGTATCACTCTGGTAGAAAAAACATACTTTTTCCTTTTCCGGATCAGTTACGCGGCCCGACACAAACTGATTTTTCTTGCAATAACAATTATAAAAACTTAGTTTAAACGTTAAATTTCGGAAGAACTGAAGAACTATAACTAGATAAATTAGTGCCTAATATGTAACCAAGCATTTGTTGTATCTATAATGGATGGCTCAGTGTGATACGCAACTACTATCATAGCGAATCACATTATTTAGTATTAATTTCAGACTATTACTGCGCATTACATAAGGCTTCACCATATCTCATCCGCCATTAATATGAGTCGAGGACGTATTTTCCATCAATTTCAACCGTTTCCTGCAAGAAATAATGATCTTAAAACGATCAGATAACGTTAAAATAATTATTCATTGTTATTAAAGTAAAATATTTTATTCAGGACATTTCACTATGGTAAAATAAACAGATGCAATTTATTTATTATATTTTTTGATCGTACAATAAATTAGTTTACATTTAAAATGTAGTAGTATTAATCATTTGGAATTTGAACGTTATTAATAAATCTATGTCTCGTATAATATTAGTAATCAGAATAAAAAGAAAAAAATCGAATAGAAATATATTTTTAATTGAGATATTAGATTACCTATTAGAACATAAATAAATAATTTCATTATTCTGAATAGTCCTAAAATATATTAGCTGTACATAAAACAAACCTCTAGTAATACATTTTATAAACATGCTCGCATAATTAATTGTATAGAAATTCGATGAAGTTTAATGTTGATATTTTAACTATTGACTATCTTAGTTATAGCTTTACAAATACAATATCAATCGAATTTCACTGCTGTACTATACCATTTGTACACTGCAAATGTATAAAATACTTCCGTTATCTTTCATTATTGAATATATTAACTATAATACCGACAGTTATTCGTTAATATTAATTTTACAAATTATGGAATGGATTGATACATTTTTTTATTTTAATAATTTACTTGATGTTTTGTACATTCGTAATTTATTAAAGTTATTTAATTCATTGAACATTAAAATATTTAAAAGAATAAAATATTTTTTACTCCAGACGCTATCAAAAATGCAACACTAATTATTCTTTTTCACACGAATTATCCTTTAAAGTAATTATCCATCTAATACTAATACTTTTAACTAATTATTAATATCTGACGTGTAATAATATTATACAACATAATATTTATAGTGAATTTCGTCCAGTGCATTCTTTGTTAGGCACCTACACTGAATCATTTATTATGAATAATCTGTCCTACAATATATTGTTACATTTAATTATAAACCATACGATTCTAAATATATATTTTATTTTATTCATACTATTAATAATATTAATAATAATATTCAATCACGTACTGCATGTAAGTGGACAAATATTCCAATAAATATCGTATTTTTTTGGATTTATAACACAATTAAATTAATTGGTACTTCTAGAGTGACAATATAATTTTTCCATCATACATTTTATTTTAGAAATTAAATATAATATTAAATTTATAATATAATCAAATTTTTCACGATATAAAAATTTTACATTTTATCAATTCAGATAGATCTAATTATTACTTTCTATTAGTTATACAATCACATTTTAATATATATATATATATATATATATATCAAAAAATATTATTTACTACTTTTTTGAGTAATTTACATACACCTTACTTATATATTATAATTAGCTTAAAGTCTGTGACAATTTAAAATAATTTTATAAAATATTATAATTATAATATTAAAAACACTCAACGTTTAATAGGTACCTGATAAATTTTCATAAATAATATTTATGATTATTTATATATATATATATATTATTAATATTATATTAATCATTATTCAATTCGAAGCCAGTAAGCTATGTAACTTAAAGTGCAATAGTACGAGTACAGTTTTCATTAGAACTTTAACGGTAATATTACCCATTAAAAACATTCGCTGTCTTACACAATTACGATCATTAGTCAATAAGATTCTCATGTTTGAAACGAGGCATACCCAAGTTGAAATGTTTTAATATTTATTCCCATACAAATACATATTTTATAAATACATATTGCCTATTAAACCCAGCACTTATTTAACCTTTTAATTTTGTATAATGAACGATGAAATTATTTTTTGCTTACTTTTTTACTTCTCCAATTATTTAAGCTCAGAGTAGCTAATCGATAGATTTACAAGTACGTTACTTAGTTGTTATTACTCTATAGTTGAAATACGAAATTACTGAACCATGGTAATAATTAGATTATTAATATTTTTAATAACCATTATTTATTGATTCGAAAAAAAATAGCATAAAATATGACGATGGAATAGTTATAGTGTGTTTCCCACATATTAACATATAACAATATTTATTATTTTTTATTTTTATTTATATGCCTTTGTCGCAAATATTACTGCAAAATATTTATAATTGAACAAAATTAAATTATACTGTAATGACTATTACGGTATTCGATCCACCGACTGGTTAAACGTGCGACGAGTATTTACAACAATTTAAAAATTGTTCGTAATATGAATTATTTTACAAATGATTCAAAAACATATTGCCGGATATGGGTATAGTCAACAAATCACGGCATTAAATATTTTCGGTTACATCAGAACTACAATAGTTGTGCTCGTTAACATTATATATGTTTGTATATTATATTTATATACACCTATGTATCTATACCGTGCGAGAATGCTTGAAATAACATCCCGTTAATGTGCTGTACCAAACCGTTCCATTAATTTAAGAGTTATTGAGCACACTCTCATTACAGTGGTGTATTTGTGGACGGTATGAGGATCATGAGAGATAGATCAACCCTTCGAACTTATTTTTTCTTCTATAATTAGTTTTCTATTACGATACTATTATAAAAGTGTTTTGTCAATGTTTAAAATCCTTAAACGCATGACAGAAGTAAATATTTTATTTATCTCGATTGGACTATACGAATGCATTCTATTTGAAAAAATAGGACATATATTTTATTACTAGAGTGGTTAGTAAATATTTATATAATAAAGGAAGGACCTTATAATGACGTCACTATGACGTTAAGTATCGTGATTTGAGTAAGATCAGTATCCGATAACGAATAATATGTTGGAAAATTATAGATTATCATATAATAATTGTATTACACACATGATCCCTCGATACTTTGGTGCAACTTTCATTTTCTTTACTTTAGACCCGCTGTCAAATGAAAATCAATCGCAAATATCAACACCGAGGTACAGAACATATTTTAACATACAAGTATATGGCACTAGTGATAATTGAATTCTATCCTTTGACCATCGTGCCACTGACTAATACATTCTCATGACGACCGATGTCAGTGTCAATTTAATGAATTTAATAATTATGTATACTTATATGTATATAAATAACATAACAACTATGTTATTTATATTATTCTTATTACACATAACTATAAGTTATAAACACCACAAAAGTGTATAAATGTGTATACATTTAATAATTATTTCTTCGGTTCTGTAAAATGAGTGATGATTAATGATTATTAGGGAACGGATTTATATGTAAATGCATATTTTTATTAAAACAAGATATTTAAGATTCGATAAGAAATGTTTATTGTTCAAATAATTTCTGTCTTGTTCAAATATTTTTGTCTCATAATTTTCATTTGTTTTTGATTATAAGTTGTTGTGTCTGTTATTTTAAAATGTTCACTTTACTATCCATTGTTTATTATATTATCATTAACTATTATATATCTAAGAACACATAAAAATATAAACTAAAAATTATATATTATTATTTATTTAAACTAGTAATAGAAATAATTCATTGATGATAATTATACTTATAATGTTTTTTTTTAATTCCATTGTTGTGACGTTTAATTTTCGTTTTGAAAAAGGGAAATGGAAAAAGGGTGATTCTTAAGTCACCTCAATAAAAAAATTCAACTCAAACTACCACTAGATATCATTTTAGACCCGTGGTTAGCAACCTTTTTACAAGCGCTGGCCATACTCTTTATCGGCTTTTCATTGAGAGCCACATAAACAATTAAAATAAACGTTCTAATTTGACCTTATTAACTAATTTTGGTTTGAATACATTCAAAGAGAAAATATAAAAAATATTATTACTTTAATCTCGAGTGAAAAGAGATAAAAATATTTAGTTACTAGTGTGATTTTTAAGATTTAATTTGTTCCACTAATTCATTTATGTCCGCTTTCATATTGGATTTTGATATTCATATAACTAATATTCACATATTCGTCGCTTAATCGTATACAATATTTATTTTTTTCAAAATTTAAGTATTGACAATGTGAGATAGGCTCATAACTTAAATTCGTAAAAGTATATTAGTCACAATTCGACTTTATTTATTAAAATTTAAGGTATTAAATAAAAATATTAAATACCTTGATATATATTTGAAAAAAAAATGGCCATGGGTTATCGATGTTTCTATTAAACTAAAATGTATTCGGTAGATATCATATTAGACGAGTGCCGTTAAGAGAAATTCTGTACGTAAGTTGTTTGTTAATAGCCAAATTAACTAAACAAAAGAAGCTACATTTAACTTTTCTACAGCACTATTTAAATATTAAACTTATTATCATTATTTATTAATGTTTATTAAATAATTATTTTCCGTAACAAAGTACTTGAAAGTTGTTCAATGTGTTATTTTATTATTTAAATTAAAAACAGTTTAGACTTAGTTTAGTACAATTTTTTTAAATGCAAATACTGATATATATATATATGTATTGTGATCTATTTACTTTTTTAAGTTTTATCGTTGAAAAATTGGTATTATTGATAAATGTAAATAAAACTTGTTGAGACAGGAATCGATTTTTTCCTCTGTGTTCCTTTAATAGACAATTTTATTGAAATGCCACCCAATGAAAATTATTTAAAATATGCTTTGTCTAGGTACACGACCTATGTTTTTTTAAACATTATATAATGATGTTTTATACCTCCTGAGAATTATCGGGGCACATCCGTGTTACCCGCAGCTACCTGTAAGTATATTTCGATGCGAACACGGACACATTTGATTTCACGTTCCGTTTTATTAATCGACTATTCCGGGTCGAGTGTCCGTGGTTATACGTGTACTCGTATAGTATATACACTTTCAGATAGCAATCACTTGTATATGTGTAGCTACGTCAAGTTGATGACAATCGAATACTAAATATTATAATATTAGCGCTGGTACCGCATAGCGTCTGATTATAATCGATGGGGCGTATCAACGGTGATACGGGGAGTTCGGGTTGAAGTCGGAGCTGAACAATGAATTAATAACGATAAAAGAATAAAATATGATAATATGCGATTATAATTTCGTGATCATCACAGAACAATACGTTAAACTTAATAACGAACTCAACGAGTATACCAGTTACTCCGAAAACGGATCAAAACCTATGGCATCCAATTATGGGGAGTTTCCAAGCCTTAAAATATTAATAAAACTCAAATGCTGCGATCTAAATGTTTCCGACAAATTACCAAAAACCCGTACTGTATTTCGAATTAAAACACTTCAATTATCTATCGACACAAGATGAAATATTGCCAATTCAAAATATAAACATCTTAATGCGAACTTACAAAATCATCGGAATCCCTTTTACTCCGAACTATAAAATCCTAATATTCCAGATGATCCCAAGAAGGCACCTAAAACAAACGTGATATCACAACTAACAAATTATAATTAATCATTGTATAAAATTTTATCAATGGATGATAACTTAAACCTTGTATTTCTACTTCACTGTATCACTATACATGTTAACTATAAAAAATATTTTAAAAATTGTATACACTTAAAAGAAAAGTAAAAAGAAAAAAAGAAATTAATTTTGAGATTGACTAGAAAGCATAATAGTCCCTATGAAAGTGAACTTCGTCGGTTTAAAGATATATAAATAGGTATTCGTTGATGGTAAGATAATAACACACATAATTGGCAGCGATTGACACCGAGCAAAGGATAAATCTTGAGGATCTTTTAAAATATTATACATATATTTTGTGCTGGATACAAATTTTTTTTCCTTTTTTTTTTCGGCGACCGATTTCGCGTAAATCGTTGATGATAGTAGATATGGGAATGGCATTTGTGTTTTTCAAAAGTAATTTTCTGACCTATTATACATCGAATCCTAAAAACGAATCGCAACTAACGGGTTATCTCCAAAAATATATTAATTAGAAATAACTTTAATTTAATTCGAATTTTTTTTCCGCGCACAGCAAAGAAAATATCAAGAAGAATTTAATAATAATATTTGAAATATGCTGATATTTTTATCTTTGTTTCCGCTGGCATTATAACAATATCATGTTTTTATTAATTTTTTTAATAATAAGATACATCATAATGTACCGATAACCGATTTTTATCGACATTTCCTTCGTTCAATGAACAGAAATTGAAAGTTCTTTATCATACTGCACTATACAGTCCTGTCCAGCACATGCCCTGCTCCTTTTTTTCTTTCTGATCGCCTATCCCCACGACTCTATTTCACATACCCGTCACGGGAAAATTCACGTCGACGACTTTGTTGAACATGATAATTATAACGTTTCCGCGTTTCGCCACAGGCAGGAATCCGCGACCGATTTGCGTGCCGATATTCCCACCGGCCTGGACCCGGAGCCGTGTGTGCCTAAAGTTCAGCAACGTATACTTCGTGGGCCGTAACGTACACGTGTGCCTGAGCATGGAAGCGCAAACCGAAAAGGAGCCCGTGTTCGCGGTGGACTTCAATTGCGTGCGCATGGGCACCCAAGGGGTAGCGCTGCTGAAACCCGAGGATGGTGGAGGCCTCCCGGTGCCCCCGGATCCTGACGAGGACGTGCCTCAGGTCGGAGGGACGACCGCGGACGCAACCGCCCCAACCACGGCCTCGGCGGTGGTGGTGAAGAATAAAAAAAAAGCGAAACCTCCGACCACAACCGCATAATAGTATTCTCGCCACAGTCGATTTCCATCCGGACCGGTAAGTATAGATTTATATTGATTTTTATTTATACGAAAACTGTTTTGTTTCAGCTAATATTTACAATTTTACAATTATTTTTATTATTTTATCGCAAATTTACAAACTTTAACTTTAATTATATTATAAACTATTATCTAACTTCTCACAATGTAATATATAATGAAATAGAAAATAAAACTAACAAAGGAGGTATTTATTTATTTCGTATGGCTTTACACAAATCAACTTTTCTAATAATATCATAGGAGGTATAATGACTAAATAATGAACGAACTTTTATGAATTTGAATGCCATATTACATAGTACTATTTATAATTGGCACAAACTACATGTTTACTTTTTTGGACGTGACACAAATTATACATTTTTTATTTTTCTGTTACTTTTTACGCAAATTACATATATCCTATAATAATATTCCAGGTTGAGCATTTATTTATTTATTTTTATATATATAAACTACTTATTTATTTATTTATTTATTTATTTATAAATTAATTGACAAGTATTTAGTCATTTTGAATTTTTATTTAATTTTTTATTATTTTATTACATTTTTAATTCATAATTGGTCGTCAATAAGACGAAATGAGGAAGCAACTTTACATACCTTAAAATAATGCCATAATTTATATTAATTTAAAATTATCCACCCAATAAAAACGCATTTGGGCAGTTTGTTTTTAAAAACCGAAAAATAAGCTCTAGAATTTTTTTTTCCCATTATCTTAAAACGATTGTATAAAACTTATTTTCGCTTATTTTTTTATTAATTATCATTACTGAATATTATTTTTATTATTATTACAGATGATACGAATAGCTTTCGATTCATAGAAGAATTTATTTATAAGGTCGGTAACAATATTTATGAATAGTTATATCAAATTATAATTGTTTAAATTATTTAATAATTTATTTGTAAGAGTACGCTATTTATCAATAATTAATATTTTTATTATTTTTTTTTTTTTTTTTACACACATAATTTATTTCTGTACAACGATATTTACTTACAATGCATACCTGTGCATAAGACTACCATATTATAGAAAAATGTTTTAATGACTGTTGTTCACTTTTGTAATATTGCTTAAGTATATAATTCTACCTATTATTCTAAATTATTATTATTATACTGTATGTATGTATTTGATATTGTAAAAAGCGAATAAAATAAAAGTTTGGAATTCAAAGTTTACTCGTATATCGTTTATACATATTAAATTATAAAATTATTGCGTATTAATTAACTTTAAAAAATAAAATATTTATGTATATTTTAATTATTATTGAGGTTTTCAATGTTGTTCATTGGCCTGATTTTATGTTATTAAATAACATTCACCCCAGGATAGAAATCGTATTTGAGTAACTTTGACCATAACCCTTAGTTCTAATTTTTAAGTCCATTACAACTAAAATTAAAAACAAAATTATTTTACAATAATTGAACTAAAGTTGTTCAATACATTTAGGTCAACGCAGTACACTTAATCGTATTTTTTTTGTGAAATGCATCAATTTATAACCATTGTGATACTTATGTAACATACTATAATACATTTATTAAACACATTGTGTATTCTAATTTAAATTATATTAAATATTTAATATTTACTGACATTAAAATATTTTAAAAAATAAGTACATTTGAATAGAAAAAACGTATTTCACTTGATCAATAAATATTTCTTAATTCTTTGTAATTCATAATGGTATTAATGGTTAAATAATAATAGTTTCTAATAAAGTGAAATAAGATTAGGATATTTTTAAGTGAACGTGTAACATTTGAAACTTAAAAGAAATAATCACTGTACACTCCATAAATATTTTTAGGCAATAATCTACAGTTGTTTAAATTTTTAAGGTCGTCCAATCTTATGCGTTTCAGATACAATACAGCATTCGATTTTCCATTAAACGCATACCGCATGAAACTTTCTTGAATTATTCCAAAAATAATTTTTCGCCACAATATAGGAAAACAGTTCGATCCGTTCATGGTCCTTAAAACTTGGAAAATAACGGTACACAACCTTCCATATAAATGACGTGTAAAAACGCAAAACGAATCTCTTGGCGAACGTATGACGTGTACACGTGATGCACGTATCAAATGTCGTGCGGTCAAATCAACTATTATGCCACTACATCGTTATCTCCTACCCAAAAACATACGGTCTCGTACATATGAACAAATGAAATTAACATGAAAAACAATATCGTAAAATCGTGAAATCGCGCGTCAATCGACGAGATCTAGCGTTATGCGTGTTGGGCGCAGAAAGTCTTATATCACGCACCTGGTAAATGGTACCACATGAACGAAGAAATTGGCGGGATGAAACGTTTATAGCACAACGTCGGCGTATTAAGAGCCGAATGACGGAACGGAGCGCGAAATAGATTCGTTTCCCGACGATTGCGGAGCCCTTGGAATAACGAACATAATACCGTACGCTTTTGCACGTCAAGTCGAAAACTATCCGTGTGTGGTAGCGTTTAGATTTATTGCGATCTGCTGAGAAAATCTCAACTCGGTAACGTGCCGAAACTGTCGTGTATAATATGTTTCTTATTATATATATGTATACAGATATAACTACGCAACAAACGAGTGCGAGCGTTTCTTACAAATAAAAATGGTTTGTATCTCGCCAGACACACACATACACACACACACACACGCGCGCGCGCCTACGATCTTGTCCGAATTGAAAAACATTTAAATAAGCAGTTTTAAAAGAAAATTCAGAATATTGTAATATATAGATGAAACTAAGGACAATATTTTGACGGGACCACAATAAAATTGATATAATAAAATTGGTCTGTATAAATTGACGAAAAAACTGGAGAGGGCAATTTATCATTATTAGTTGCGTCTATAAGTAATGTCACGACGTGAAACATTTGCAAATAAAATAATCGTATTATTTAAACTCAATTATTTTTTAAGTACATTACTGCTATTCAAAATCCTTTTTTTATAGATATTAGTGAAAACACGTTTTTGAATTTATGATAGTTTAAAAAAATGTTTCTCTTGACGAGTTTTTCATAAAATTCAAAGTATTTAAATATACGATCATCATTCATTTCGACTAATTTCATTTTAAAATAGTGAATTATTTATGTGATATGGTATTTCGTTTGTAAATTATTTGTCAAGTCTGTTTTTTGAAAAAATGTAAGAGCATTGTTAACGTAATTTTTATTTAGAGTATTTTCTGTCGTTATCAGATACTGTCCAAAAGTGTTTATTATATTTTTAGAGAAAAAAATTCCATGACATTTAAATCACACGCGTTTTTAATAAAACTAATTACAATTATTTTGACGTTATTCAGAAAATAATCATTTTTGAAACATAATTTTCACCTAAATACTATCTATGTCAGTAATGTAATACATAAGTATCGAGTAATAAAATATATAATCATCAATTATAATTAAAAACGGGATTCTGAATACACTTAAATTGATGTCTTAAAAAATCGGTCATCGTTTGTTACAGACATTTAGAATTTTAATACAGCCTTAACCTACTTGTAAACTTAAAACTTATTTATACCTATATTAAAGCATCTCGGTAGTCTTAATTAATAGTTGTTTTACGAGGGATTAAAATGTGTGAATACTATGGTAAATCGATTTGTTATTGTCCTTAAATTCAAGAACACCTTTCTAGTGACTCACGTTAAGCCTAATTCATATATTATCTCGCCCAAAATCTTATATTAAAAGATTTTATTAATTAATTAATTTCTACGTTATAACATTCATATAATTTTGAACTGTAATTAATATTGAATAATTTAAATTATTAGAGAACAATGATTATAAAATAGCAAAATTTATACTTTATAAATACTTTAATGTAAACGATAAATAAAAATATTCTTACCGCAATGAATCGCAGCTATCCATGTTATATTAATATTTAAAACGCATAATTATTACTAAATATTCAAAGTAACTTATAGAATATGAGAGCATTTATTATGATTTTATTTTATTCTGACTCGTTTGTCACATATTTTCATTGATCAATTTTTCATTTATTACTAAAACGTGGTTTTAATTTATTTGTATTTGTGGTGGTTCGTACTCTATATATACACACCGCAAGACAATGAATTAATAGCTCTCTATATATTTCTATGCAGGTAAAAAATAATTCGCATTGTTACTACTGAATAGTGAATATTAGTTAAGCATATTATGGGTGCATACGAAAATTAAATAGTTACCTTTATACGAACTCGCATTGGCAACCAGTCTTATAATTAGGGCTGAGAATTTGTAGGAAAGTGTATTTTTTTTTTTTTTTTGATGATTGTAAAACGTAGCTTTGTAAGTACATAATTTAAATTATGTAATTACGAGTCCATTTATGGAACTTTTATTTTGTATTTTTTCTTGTTTTTAATTTTTAAGGTAATTTTTGAGCATTTTTAGGTTATATTTTCTTTTTTTAGTTAATTTTCTGGTATTTTTAATCAAATTCTAAAGACCAAAGACTAAATAAGGTACCCGAAAATAAATATATTAAAATTTTTTTTTATTATTTTAACAAAATAAATACTAAAATATAGTACATATAGAAAAATAAAATTCAATCAAAATTTTTCTTATTTTTTTTTTTTCTACTAAATAAACACTTATTTATGCATTTAATGTACTAATGTATAATATCCTGTACCTAATATTAATATAAATATAAAAATTAAATTAAAAACCATTTTATACTATAATTTTTGGCATTTTATATTGAATTTTTTTTTGCATTGTAATTGCATTTTTTGCATTTTAAGTGTATATTTTTTGCATGTTTTTGAAATTTTTAATGCATTTTTTAAGGTCCTTTAATGCATTAAATTTACAACCCTACTTATAATATTTTAAATATATTTTATCATTTCATTTTTAACAGTATGTTGAGGACAATGAGATGTATTTTAAATAAAAGTCAAACATTTCTGAATCAGTAAATTATGTTTTTGAAAAATAACTATACAATTTTATTCCAGCAGGTGTCCTCCCCGTTGATTAATTAAATACAAATAACAATGTATATTGGAGAGTTTGGAGGGTGAAACTTGAGTGTAATACACCATTAATTCGCAAATGTAGGTTTCACCTTACTGCAGTAACATATTATTTTAATTTAAAAATATGTTTCCCCACAAATAAGTTGCATAATTCAAATATAAATTTAATAAATAAAGTTTCTACTAAAAAAAAAAATAATAATAAAAAAATAAAAAAATAATTAATTATAATTACGTAATTATACTAAATAATGTTTTATAATAATAAATACAAAAATTATAGATAAAATATAAAGGATATTCCACTATAAATAATCACTTATTTATCATGCTTTATTTATATCAGACTATATGAAGTCGGGTTCACTAGAACATGCACTTGAGTTTAAATTTAAAATCATTTGCAGTACATTAAATTATCTTACTCTTGATTTTTTATTTTATTTTTTTATATATTTATGTATTTAATAACCCAACACTTTCAACCTTGGGTGACTGCAGAAAGTGTATCAGCGGAATGAGGGGCATAATTAAATCGAACATCAAAAAGTATATTAAAAAAAAATTTATTCTTAGGAAACAATAAAATATATCAGAATTGTACACACTTTAATCATTATCATATAAAAACTGAAGTCTTTACAGTTGTTTGATTGCAAACCTTGATATTAACCGTTCGATTAATTTTTTCCAGTGGGAGCAAATGCCCCGTCTTTCCCCCACCCCCTCTAGGTGCCCATGCTTTCAACACAAGTAACTTCTTAGAAAAGGTGCTCACATTTTTACATATTATTAATTGTAACCGATTTCATGTTAGTTAACATCAAAATTTATCGAACTTTTGATAAAGAAAAAAAAATATAAGAACATCTAAGAGGTAAGTTCAACTACTCGTTGAACAAAAAAACTCAACCATATAATTATATTCGAAGAGGTGTACTGAGAAAATTTTATTGATTATTATCTATGTATAAGATTATTTTTATTTGTGATTTCAAGAGGCAAGTCGATTTGTATAACGTTGAAACTCGTGAATTTAATACCTTTAATAAGTGACCTTAGATATTATGTATTTTTGTTTTTAAACATGTTTGTGTCATTCATATTGAAAATAATTAAACAAAAATCAAAATGCATTAGACTTATTTATATTATGAAAATAATATTATTTTTATGTTGATTCATGATCAAAATTATAATATTGTGGGTATCATCTAAAATTCTAAAAATTTCTCCAAATTCAAATTTAACAATAAGTTGCGTTAAAATTATTTTTGACCTAATAAATACTCGTATTTATGCTAATATAACAGTTATTTAATAAAAAATGTCAAGAACTAAAATTTAAATATATTTGCAATAGCAATAAAATATGTTATTCTTAAAAATTGGACTACTTCTTAAATTATATTTAATTAAAATGTGCATACAAGACACCAGTGATGCTTTTGTTTATAAATATATATTACAAATATATTACATTTGTCTAATATTCTTATTTGTTGTCTGCTAAACCATTTCAACAATCGCTATCTTTTCATTGAAAATAATATCACATTATTGGAAGGAGTGAATAATTTCATAATACGTGTAATGTATTATAGTTAACTACATTATTGCATTGTATTAAAAAATTATAGGTCAAACGTTAGCTTGTCCCATCAGAATGTAAAATGTAAACGGTTAAGTATTTACTCATTCAATAATATATTTTACAAATTAAATTATTGATAATATTTAAGTTTTAATTGCAGTTAAAATTTCTTAATTAGTAGGTATATGATGATTACGACATGTATACAATATACAAAATAGTATTTGATGAATGTACATAAAAATAATGTCTCTGTGTTTAGAAAGTGACTTATTACATATTTTATGACCATGTGCAAGCATATAAAAAATAAATAACAATCAGAAACATGAAACTTACGGGCTACGGGCAACTACACATTCAAATCATTGAGCACAGTGTATGCAAAGTTTTAAGTATACGTGGAATGTAAATTTAATGATAAAACCCGCAGCTAGACACACTATAGACCCCGAGTGAGGTATATTTACATTGTAATTAAGCTCATTGTTATTGAAGTACACCAGGTGAATCGAAAGCAAGAGTAAAAAAAAATAATAATAATAAAATCTATCGAGTGCTAAAAACATTTTAAATGGAAATTGTACGTGATTCTGTAGTTTTTATTTTACTCTTATCGTATGCCAGTGTAACACATAGTTCAACACATACCTGGAATTCGAAAGGTAAGTTTGTTTAACCCATTTTAATTAAACCAAAACGTGACTTAAAAGCATAATAAACACATAATTTGTACAAAAATCAACTCATACGATCCCGAAAAAAGGTCTGTTCAAATAATATTAATAATATATATGCAGTTGTATAGTAAAAGTAATTGTTTTTATCTAGATTTTGTATTTCTTTCAAACAGAAATGATTTTATGATTTTAGTATTATTTTTATTTTATTTTATTTTTTTTTTTTTTTTTTATAACGTTTTTTAATATTAATTACGTTATTATGTGTATAAAATGATCGAAGAATTATTTTGGTCATTCGTAGTAATAATAATATGATTACATTAAATTTAATTATAAAAAAACAAATATTTATGAAATATATCATTTTATCAACATCAATCATTCTACATAAGTACTAATCAATAACTTTTATTAGATCTACCATATAACATTTTACACAGTAAAGATTTTACATAACTATACTTTTACGATTTACTATCTGTTATAGAATAATAACCTTAGTTATTATTTTTATTTATAAACATTTTCCAAGCGCCAGAAAAGTTTTTCAATACAGTTACTTGTAATTAATACAATTATGCAGCACAAACATTAAATTATTAGTTTGTAATATATTTGAATGTAATACATATGGAATTTAAAATTAAAAATTACTAAAAATTGAAGGAACTTAATACTTTTTAATCTATGTATTTTGAATGTATAATCAAAATCAAATAAAAAAAAACATTATTAACATTACATAAATAAATCGACACAGAACCAACAAAATTATTATAACCATATATTTATACGTTAAAGTACTTATTAAATTATGAAATAAGCCCACTTAAATATTCATGTTCATGAAGTATCTATTGCTAAATTTGTTTAAAACACATCAATACTTTTCAACTCCATTTATTTGACTGCTTATAAATTTCATTCAGCATCGTCAAATACGAAATAAATTTACTAAACAATTATGTGTAAAACATCACCACAAATATAATAGTGAAAGTTTAATATTTAAATCTAAGTAGATATCTACTAAGAATGAAACAACATAATATCTCAACATAAAGAAATTTGGCTATTCATGAAATGCACATTATTTTCGATAGACAATGTATAGAGATGAAAAATAAGAAAATTTAAGAAACGAACGAATAATATCTAGGTATTTATAATTATTTACTTATATAAACTGTACCAACGTCTTATCTTATGAGAAAAATATATTTAAATGGACTAATTAGTAATAATTAGAAAATAAATTGGAATTATTAACAATAACATTTCATCGTAACATCATTGTATTATTACATTGGCAATTAATTGAGCATAATAGAGCTATACATTTATAATTTATACGGATTTGTTTCACATCAAACGACTTCAATAAAAAAAAAAAAAAAAAAAGTACAATTAAAATGGAACAAAATGATAATTTAAGCATTCAAAACTAGACTACAAACAAAATATTTGTAAATATTTGTACATAGACGTACGAAAAATGCATTATCATGCATTATGTGCTTAAAAATAATAGACTTTGACATTTTCAATTCATAAATGCACCGTATCATCACTACACTCTCTGCGTTTACAGTTAAGTATTTATTGAAATCTATTTAAAAAACATAACAAATTATTTATTTTTAAAGTACATTTTCTTGCTTATGAAAAAAAATGTACATTCAACTATAAGTAACAATAATAATAAAATATAAAAAAGTTTTGAGAACCGAGTTATCTTGACATAATGGTCTTAATTTGTTATATTAAAATAATTTTTTTTTTTTTACGTTATAAATTGTATAAAATATATATTTAATAAAAAACGCTTTAGTGTACCTACTCGTTCACTGTATACTAAATATCACTAAGTATCGCCAAACTTAAAAAAATCAAATTTTAAAAACGTAATTTATTAAGTCAACCTATGATATGTATAGGCATTTACACTGATTAACTTATACTGTGTACAAACTTGATACATTTTAATCATCACTTCTCAAAATTATTTCAATACAGTTCAACTTAATTTGAAAAAAATATATATAAAACCTTAATAGTATAAACAGAAACTTACATGTAATATTTTTATCATAAAATTTATTACAATAGCTTACGAGTATAATACGTAAATGCATCTACCTATATGTATATCAGAACATGTATACCTTATCTTAAGACTATTAACATATTTACCACTTTAACATGTATACTACTATTAGTGATAATTAACATAATACGTAGGTATAATCTTTGTTGTTAAACTATAATTTTTTTAAAAATAAATAATTGCACAGTTTATCAAAACTTAAAAACGTTAAAATGTAAAAAAAAAAAATTTATTTTTATTCACTTAATATTTTAATATTACGGTGTTGAATAATTCTCATTACTAATACCTAAAACATACTAAAACATAGGTACACTTTAGGAAGAATGCAATTCATTAATATAAACTTTTTTAACAAATTTTAATTTATTCCGCTGATGAAATGAAAGAATAAAACAGCTTAACAGTTTTGGATATAATAGCGGATGGATGAAAAATTTCTCTTGTAAAATATGTTTTACATACTTGGTACACACATAGACAAACTGCTATTAAAATAATTTTTTCTACGGTACATAATGTAGATACGAGAAAATTATTTAATTTTAAACGGATTGTGTGCGAGTGCAGCTTGCTCGTACGCAAGTGTACGTAAATGTACGCAAATGTACGTGTTATCTTAGCAAAGTGTGTTAAACATATATTGTTCCGTGAGAACGTCCTAAATACATGTTACAGTACCTAATGACGTGTACGGAATGATAGCAATGCGCTTCATGGTACACGAGTATTTGTACAATTAATGCGTTAACCCGTTGAAATTTTCCCACCAGTTAATTTCTTCGATATTATAACATTTCCCGAATAGATTCGTATGCATATATGTTCTGGACATGATACGAAACCGGAACATTTTATACAAACAGTACCGCTAGATAATATATACATATATATGTGTCTGTGTGTGTCATCTAATTACACGATGGCTATTCAATCACTGAACCTTTTAACAATAATCATTAAAACTGTTTGTGTCTTTGTGATGCCTTAGTTTAAATTATAATAATAAGTATGTGAAATGGAAATTATTAACGATAAAAATGCTTGTTAAAATATTCATTTTAATCAAAATTTAAACTTCAATAAAATAGTAGGTATAAACTATTGCGTATCTTCCATCACTTTACGCCTCGAACAGGATGCCAGTAGGTAAAACGTGTACTATAATAAATTGCATAATGTAGTGAGTAATACATAATTCTTTAACTTATTGAAAGTAACTAGGATATGGTGAAACATCGTCGTATTATTCGAAAGTAATAATGAATCATCGCACTCGAAAATAATTAGAAAATAATGCCATAACAAAAATATTCACTACTCAAGTCTTAAGTATTTCAAGTTGAAATTGTACACGTTTATACAAAAATTACAAATACAAAAAATTACCATCGAAATGTTTGATTGCCAAATTCATTATATAAAAAAAAAATTTTCTAATAGTTTGAAATGTATATTTTATTTTATGCTGATATTGATTAACTCATAGTGAACTAAATAAACGATAATACAATACATAACAAAGATACATAATTTAAAGGATTTAATTTTTCATAAAGCAAATGTACAATATGCTAAATGATATTATATATATATTTTTATTGAATGTATGATCCTTTTAATTTTTACAATTCAGTATTATAATTTATAACACATGCACGAATTACATGAAATTATCAGTGTTTTAAAAAACAGTACATTATTGAATATTATGATGATAAATTAAAAATATTAATTTCTTAGCAATAAATTAAAATTAAAATATGTATATTTTAATTTATATATACTGTGCACTGGAAACCACCAGCGTAATAAATGTTGACACTTACATCCTAAACAACAGATAATTCATTTTTTATTTGAATGAACTTTTAGTTTTTAGCTATGACTTTAATTAAGAACTATGTTTATAGTTATGTAATGAAACCATTACATTAATGCAGTATATAATAAGTAATAACACAAACTTACAACTCAGTACGAAACCTTAAAATAAATCGTTATAAATAATATAGACAATAACTATAATAATATTTATAACTTTTAAATTAAATATTCAGAATCAATCCCTGATTTAATCTTTAATTATTTTAGATTAGAATAAAGTATAGAATAGGAGAAATGGAAATTTAAAATTAATTGAAAAAATATTTAAAATGTTATTTTCCCTTTTCATCTTTATTTTTGTTAATACTTTGCGCTTGGTAAATTGTAATTTTTATGAACTCGATAATAATAAAGTATCAATATAACATATGAATAATAGATGATATACGATAAGTAAAATGTTTAATAGCTAATTTTCTACCAGATGACTAAATAATATTATATAATAATTTACTACTATAGAGTACGGCTCATATTATGCAAGAAATATTTAAAAGCCTAATATTAATAACCTAACCATCAAACCTCTATATAACGAAAGTCACTATGCAATGATTTTTTTTTAAGAACCATAACATTTTAAACAAAAAAAAAACCTTTCTATTTAAAGAAAAAAAATAATTTATTCAATTGAAAAAAAAATAATTAATTCAATTATAGAAAATAAATAAAATGATAACCTAAAACTTCAATAATAGGTGGATGAAAAGAAAATACTGGATTACTGAGAGTGTTTATGTAGTGTCATATTATCATAACTGAACTACCAGTTTCCAAGTATGAAAAGAATATACATTACTATAGTAGCTTAAGATTTAATATCATACTATGAAAACTTTAAGAAAACTTCAAAATATTTAAAAAAAATGTTTATATAACTATTTTAAGATGTTTATAACATTACCGTTGCGATTTCAAAATCAATATTCGATTTAAAAACATTATTAAAAAACTTCAAACTTTCTAAAACAAATACATGCGCATAAAATAATCTTTATGACGTACCGTTCACTCCAAGTTTGTTTGAGAGATCAGAAACTAGCTATACATACATTGTTACATACAATTACTGCAGACTATGGAAATGTTGTCTGAAAAGTCCACAAATTACGTTTTCAAGTCTCAAAGGGGCGTTAGAAACGTTAACAAACTATAAAGCCAAGAACGTTTACTGACGTGACGGATACCAAATTAAAGGGTAAAACATGTAAAACCACGAATTAATTTATAACTCGAGTGTTACTTATTTTAAAGAAATTTAAATTTTAGTCTCGGGATAAAAAAAACCATCAGGAGTGATCTCTGTATAAATTAAAACAATAAGTTCTTGCACTTGAATATAAAATTAAAAAACATTATTTTCACGAAAAGTATAGGGAACTAAATATAAAAATATAAAAAGTTATAGAAAGCTGATTTATGGTCAACAATATTTTAGTATAGTAGTTCAACATGTTGCAAATGTTGATTTTATAGATATTGTACGATCTGAATATAAATAATATATAATTTATTATATTTTTTTTCGGACAATAACGCTTTTCTTGTTTGGGTTTTCAGTCAATTACAACAATTGTATACAATAAAAATTTATTTTCGAATAATAATTGAAACTAACGAACAACTGATGGAATAAACTTATCACAAATAAATAAGTGTTAACGAAAATTAACTAAAATATTTTATCTTAATTATACAGATATTAAAATCATTCGAAGGAACTAATATATCACAATAATAATTTTAATTCAATGAAACAAATATTATGAAAAACATATTGGTATAAATAATTTCAATTCGAAGTCAATCGCTTGCATAGTACATTGTGTCAGTACTTCATTCATAACATATTAACTATACGTTGGAATTTTAACAAATAATATATGATTTTGTATGTTAAATAATTGACCTTTGATTGAAGTTTTTAAACATTAAAACTAACTTAAATTAACTTAATAAAATTACTATAAATAATAATTTATTTTGACTCTCTATTTTCTATTTTTAAACACAATACAACTGAATACCACATAAGTATATAAAATAATTTAATTATGTATTGTTAAACGAGACCATCTTTACCAGTTTTTCCTCATTTGTTTCGAATTCTCTCATTTCAACTAACCATTTTATTTCCAATATTTTTACTAACTTTAACATTTTTATTATTATTTTTCAATAAATAAGTAATGATTAAATATCCGTTTGGTAAGTATAAATATTTATACGCTAATTTATAACCACTTATAAAATATGACTAAAAACAACTAATACACCAGAGATCTTCGCCACTTTAAAACTACTGAATATATTTATTCACCATGATTGTAGTTAAGAAAAATTTACTAAAAATTCTGCCACTTATGATGCTTTCCAGTATGAGACAATACTTGCCGTTAGTCCCTACAAATTTTCTTATCTAGTTAATGTAAAAACCACCGGATAAAACTTTTAGTTTTTCTCTATCATGTCGGATAAAATTATCTTTTGTTCATTAGACGACGATAGTTATAGTGTGTGATGATAAATTGTACATACTGGTATAAAAATTATACTCGTTTTGTTGACGTTGGTATACGAACAGTCGAAGTTTCAATTGACAAGCAAATGTAACAATTAATGTTGTTCATTTCGTTGGCAAATAAACCTACGATCGTTTCGAGTAGTGATTTCGTTATGGCTAGTGCTAGTGGTACAAGTGATAAAATATAAAGCACTATCTATTTCAGTCTGACTGCAAATTTTGTAAAAGTACGATGAAAAGTATACGTGGGGTGAGGCAGAGAGACGAAAACATAAAATGTCCCACGATTTTGGGGTGTACAAATTTTACAGGTAGGTACCCATAAATTAAAATAATTCGTAATTGAAAAAAGTAGGTCTTCGAAAAAAAAAATTATTTTATCAACTCCTGCTTACGAAGTACTATTCAGTTTGTCCTTTGAACAGCGTTTTAAGTGAATTTTACTGTATTAAATAAAATATATTATATATAAAAATTAATCCCATCTAGACTTTCTAGCTTTTTGCACTAATGTAAATTTCGAAAATGCGAATTTCCACTCACTCATATAGCCCGAGCGACCTAAAAGGTTAAACACCGCTCTGCTACTATAAGCCATA